GGAAAAAGTAACCGAAGAATACCAAGACGGAAGTCCTTAATAATAGGGAAAAAGAAACCGAACGAAAACAATGAGGTCTTCCATTGTAAATGGAAGACCTTAATAATCTTTACCAACAGAATCAGTAGAAAGTCTTCCGTTGGAAACGGAAGACCTTAATAAATTGCGCCTCACTGTTACAGCTTATGATTATTATCAAATATATATTTAAAAAATCCGATAAAGATAACAGATGTAAGAGGAGGTACAAGAAAAGAATAGAGTATGGTTTGAAGAAAAGTATATTTCAAGACCCTATTAAAAAAACTGGTACACCACATACAAGCAAATCATTGTGCACATTATCCTAGTACTTGATAATCTGAAATCAAAGAAACTATGAAAGAAAAAAAAAAATTAAAATATTTTAATGTTGAATTTATTAGAATAAATTTACATATTTTATGGGTAGATTTGATAGCATACAAACCCTTTTTAACAGTTTCAAATATCTTTTAAAAGTTGTTCCCAACTTTTTTTTAATTCTGAGTCACCTCAATTACGTTTAATATCATAAATATAGGATATAATATATCATTTTCGTCGCTGCATACATCAGTTTTTTTTAAATAATAGTATGTATTTTATGTAACCTCTTTTAAATAAAGCCATTTTTTTAAATTCAATTTTTGAAAACTTATCCCTCATTTTATAATAATTTGATAATTGAAAATTTAAGGTAATTGAAAAACGGAATTATCTATATCAGCAGGGGAAATTATAAAATAATCAAAGTACTTAAAGCACTCATGGGAGTTGAACATGGTGTAAATAAAATCTTTGATCGGGAGGTTAAGTGAGTGAACAATATTACATGTATTAATTATTTTTATGTCTGTATTTTTAAATACAGACAACTGTTTCACATTTTTTGAGTTGGAACAATCTTGATCGAGAAAGACGTTCAGTGACATTGAATAGCAAAAAAATGCATGGGTCATAATGCTTGCCTGGATACATTTGTCCTTTTTTATACCCCCTGCTTGAAAAGCGGAAGGGAATTTATTAATCATGATTTCTGTCCGTCTGTTTGTTACACTTAAGGTATACCCATCTCTTATCCGCAACTTCTCTAACACCACTGAACAAAATTTTCATAGAATCTTTATTACATATCGCCGTTGTGCTTCTATTACATTTTCATCCTACACATATTTTGGGTTTTCCATTGCAAAACATGCAAACTGCCATTATATTCATATTAGAGACGGTTGATCATTTATATCACTGATCACAGTCTTCAAACTTGTAATATATTTTTCCTTTGCATCTTTACCCATGTGTTATGAAAATTTCAGTTTCGCAGGAATAATATCAATGTTGATAAAATGTGGATTTAACACAGATCCTTTTAAGAGCTAACAGGTTTTTAGTATAAAACTTCTATGTGTATAAAAATTTCAATTGCACGAACATTATACATGGAGTACGTCAGAACTTAATCTTTTTTAATATTGTGAAGAAAAGAGCAATACCAAGTTAAAAACAAATATTTATTGACGAAACATGCTGATTAAGTAATAAATACCCATGTTCCTAAAGATTATGCAAGAACGAATTCAATTAAACCAAGAAAATGTTCATGAAAAGTTTGAATATGACTAAATTTAACGTGTGCCGTCAGTATGTTGATTTGTCGTTCGTATATCTAAGTCTCATTCAGTGTATGACGCTACACTAAAAATGAGTTCCATTACGAAAAACTTTCATGGTTCTTTATAATTTAGTTTTACATAATTATGTACTTTGAAAGAATTCTAATATCCAAAATAAGATTATTTTATCATTACATTTACTTACATTATGCAAATCAGATTAATTCAGGAGAAAATGACATGAACTATTTGTCGCGGATGTTTATGCATGTTTTCTGTTGAATATCATCGGAGTAAATCAGCCGACACAGTAGCCTCGCTTTCGTCTCAGTCTATGTAATCAACACAAATTACTGCGCATGTTAAATACGTGATAACCATGGGAGATTGAACATATATAGTTCAACTCCCAAAAATTACGTTTATCAACTGAAATTTTAATGCTTTAACTTCAAAAGCTATTCCTTTTACTTCTTTTTACTTGAAAAGGCTAGTAAGTTGAATTATGTCTCATCAAAGAAATATATAAAACATGTTTTGTAAAATGAGAAAGTATAGTTCAATCTCAGTTCAAATTGAAATGAAATATAAAAAAAAATGCCTAAATGAGCAGGTTAGAGAGCAATCAGAGGCTATGGCACCAACAATCAGGAGAAAAATCATGAAACAGTGTAAACTGAGAGAAAAGGAACAAGCTTTAAAATCCTTCTTGCACAAAGTCGTATTTATCAGCAATGAATGTTATCGTGGTATGTAAAAGTTAGAAGGAAATAGTTTGACATCACATGACAAAGAAGACAAACATGTATAAGAAATTAATTTCAAATTAAAAATGTTCTGAATCTTTCAATAACTTCGAATAAAACAAGAAAATTAACAAATAGGACCTAACTTTTGTAAATATAAATACATCACTTTCTTTCCAAGAAACATACGCAGGGGTATTAATTTTTCAGGTTGAAAGGTTAGAACTGCAATTCGGAGTACTGGAACAAATTTCAAGATGAGTTCCAAAAGGTTCCATATTCAGATATCTAAAATGTCTTTTATGTATAATAAACTTTAAATTTGACCAAAAATTCTTAAGTTAAACTATACGGGCATTAAAACACATAATTTAAAGCAAAACATTATTATTTAATATGCAAACGTCATTTTTTATATCACTTGTATTATCTACGATATCAAATCCAGGGTACACTCTTCAAGTTTCTTACCCCTGACTGCTTTATTGTCACGAGTATCGCCGTTGAATAGCTATCCCCGACTGTGCTGGTTTCTCGCATTACCTGAATTTAGATTTTATTGCAGTATCATATATCCGTGTTAGTTTACATACTGCATTGAACTGTACAACTGTTGTAAGTTTCTTTGGTAGACCAATTATTCAGACACAAGGATTGGGCTAATTTAGTCATATATTAAAACTTCCATGAACTGGTTGACATCATTTAGGTTTTACATGTCATATTTGATGCACTGCAATATCTCAATGGAAATATAAATGTTACATTTTATTGGAGATGTTTTATCAAAGGATACCATTTAATATTCTAAATGTTTTTCGGAAATTAAAAACTAGAAAACTGTGAGCAATGAGCTCACTAAATAATACCACCGCCTCCCATAATGTCCATGTGTTGCTATATATTGTTTTACGGTAATGTGTAAAGAGGATTAACTCGTCCTATCAAATGTTATCCAGAAGCTTCTATATGTGACATCATAGGTAAACATATATAATGGCAATTTTCATGTTTTGCCATGGGAAACCTAAAATACGTGTCGAATAAAAAAGTAAAATAGGAGGTGCACAATGGCGATATGTAATAAAGATTCTGTGAAAGTTTCATCAAATTTCATTCAGTAGTTTGAGAGGAGTTGCGGATAAGAGATAAAGCATAACAGACAGACGGACGGACGGAAATACCGATTACTATATACCCTCCCACTTTTCAAGCGGGGGTATAAATATACATATTATATATAATTGAATTTTTAAAATTTATCTATGCATTGATTTACTTGTTGACATTTATAGACGCAATGAGTACACACTTATTCAAGTATCAAGTTTTATTTCAATACGAACATCTTTCTATACTGCTAACCAAATTAATAGGCAAACTTCAATGACATTTTTTTTTGAAGATTAAAGTATAATTTTATGTCGAGTTTAGTATATTGAGGCCTATGTTTTAATGTGATGTCGAAATATTTTCTACTTAGATTTAGATGCCCCGATAACATTGAACTGTTTGCAATGGCTGTCATAAACGGATTTCTGTATAAAGATCTTAAATTCACACTTTCAAAACTTAATGCTAGTAGATCTAGTACTAAGAAAAAATACGACATAATTCAATTTGAGATATTTCAACATGAACAGTTTTAAATATTGTCATCAATAATTTTAATTGCAGATATTGATAAACTATTCCCATAAGAAGAAGCATTTGCCTCCAGGGTACCATGGACGTGTGGCAATATAAATCCAAAGGACAATTGAGGCCTAGTTAAAAGTCACTTTCCTGCACATTCAGTCTTAGAATACATTGTTTGCTAAGAATAGGACTCAAACTGATTTACATACTAAGAAAAAAATCTGCTTTGGAAATTAATCTTAGGTGTCATATCAATTAAATGCTCTTTATTACTTAATTGTAATGTTTTTAATGTAGTGAATAGGTTAGTTTGAATAAATTCACAATTGTTTGAAAATTTTGTTTGTTTATTTTTTTCCTCCCTCCCTCGTAGGTTTTGAACTTTAGATGTGACGTTAAACGTAGAATTAACTTTGAACAGCCTAAACAAAATTTGATGAAAATAAGTGCTTGTGAAAGTAAACATCCTATATAATGTATAACAATAACATTTTCAAACTTAAATTGGCTAGTTTTTTATTATTAAAGCTGCACGTTTTCACTTACGTGTAGATTCCATTCTACAAGTTTTACGAACGTGTAGCAATTTTGACGTCACTAAAATTGATGACGTAATACACACAAAATTTAGGTTATTCCCCTACTAGACGTACCCGTACACGTTTGAAATCTCAACCTCTCTTATATTGATGGATGCATCCATTAATTCAGTAGGAGTATTATGGTCAATATCATAAACAAGGCACATTTAATCTTTGTTTAAAAGAAATTAATTTTAAATACATTCAGTAATGAAACAGGATGAGTGTATTCCCACTTAATCATTCTCATGTTTTTTCTGGGAAGAAAATAAAAATTTTAAAACGGTTTAAATTGAACATGTTAATAAATTAATTAATTCAAATTTAATGGTTATTAAATCTGATTCTGCAAGGAAATTAAAGTACCCTAGCAAAAAAAAAAAAAAAAAAAAAAAAAAAAAATGAGGGCCATTAAAAAATTACGGGGATTTGTTGCACGGGCATCCGACACTAAGGAAAGCCAGCCGTTCCCCTCCAGTGGTTTTGGACATTTAAATCCGTTTCAAGCAACGGCAACCTTTGCTCCTAATATGGAACCGTTAACAATAACGGAACCTTACAAAACTCTTGCCAAATTATCACAAGATGTAGGAGACATAAAGGCGGATTTGTGGGAGAAGGATGGCTTGGATGACAAAATTCAATGTGTGGCCGGGACTCAGGAAGAAACTCTTTCAGACATGGAGCTTTTAAAAACGGAGAATGAAAAGCTAAAGAAAGACATGGAAATGCTGAAGTCTGTTGTTATCAAACTTGACAGAAAAGTTCAACAACAAGAGGCTGAGATAACAGATCTTAAAGGGAGATCAATGAAATTCAACATTTTGATACACAATTTAGAAGAGGATAGTGAAGAAGTATTGAGAACAAAAATTCCTAATCTAATCAAAGAGCATCTAGGTGTAGAGGGCGTTGAGTTTTCAAACACCCATAGAAACGCCGGAGAGGTAAAGCCAAACGGAAAGCCACGAACCATCACCGGAAGGCTCATGAGAATCGAGTACAAAGACGAAATATTGAAACAACAGAGGGCGAAGAAGGAGGGTGGAGCGGAACTACCGTTCTACATCACACCACAATCACCCCCGCAGGTGAACGAAACCCGTAAAAAATTAGTGGAACTAAATAACAAATATTGGCAGGAAAACGTCAAAACTCGTATCATTGGAGATAAGCTTGTTTTCCCAAACGGAACTGTTTATAAGGATAAGGTTTCAACTCCAAACGCAGAGGAACTTCTACAAATGGACAGTAAGGAGATCGAGAAAATTGAAGGAATTTCGACCAAAAGATCAGACACTCACTCAGATGGGGGAAATCAATTCAGTGCGGCGGCGGTTGATGTTAACGCTTTTGCCAAGGTGAGAAACTTCTATAAGAAAGTTTCGATTGATCCGTTTTACGGACGGGCCAACCATAATATTCTGATCTACCGCTTCAAGGACAACAACGGGATTCTTCACGAAGGATATTGTGATGATGGGGAGTTCGGAGCGGGCCGCAAGATGCTGGGTATATTGCAGGATCAGAGCCGTGTCAATGTGGCGATCGTGATTTCAAGGATGATGGGGAGACATCTCGGGCCAAAGCGTTTCCAAATTATGGAAAACACCATGATGGATGCTTTAAATAAAGTTTAAATATATTTCATCAAACTTGCAGTTCTAGACTGTATTTGGGTAATTAAAAACACTGTATTATTTTCAAGTTATATTTATAGTTAGTAATCATGAAAATTGCATTTTGTATTTGAACTTTGGATATGCCTTATGAATTAAGGCATGAATTTTTTTTCCGGAGTTTGTTGTTTCCGGTTTTCTCCATAATGTTTATACAGCGAATGTTTATTTCCGGTAACGGGAAATTCGGCATGGGCTGAAACCACAGGCACCTGACGTTACTTATTTTTCTTTAAATAAAAAAAAATATACACATACCTAATAATAAACAAGGTCCTCAACGGCGCCATCTTGAATTTTTTTAGGTCTGTCACATCCTCTTGTATTTTCGTCTGAAACTCCGTCAAATAAATTCTCTGCAACCATATTCTTTCTGTGGCCAGTCTTTCGAGGTCTAAACTTATGGCCAGTGCAACCTGAAGGGCGCATCACACTTGCAATATTAAAAATCCCTCGTCAAACTCGATCTTCTGCTTCAACAATCCGAGAAATCCAAAGGGGGGCCGGAAGTTTACATCAATATGCTAATGGGAATTCCGCATTTGTCAGTTTTGTGGTGGATCTAAAGCAACGTGTTATAATTACTTTGAATTTTTTCGATTTTGAAATGAAAAAAAAATGCAAAATGGGAAAAATAAAACACTTCTTATAAACATATCTGTAAAATATACTGTATTAATCTATACAGATCGTTGCGTTCGAAACAATCTTGAATAAAAGAGGGGGGTGCTTGAAAAAAAATCAACAACAAATCATCCAGAGTTAATTGAATGGTTTTCAAAAACAATAGACTGCAAACCATCCAGATATATAAATGCATTATGTAACATATATATACTTGGCATATGCTTAATTGAAAAAGGGGAGGGGTCACACTGATTAAAGGCTCGGGGATTATATACAATGAAATCAAATATTAGCATAATTATGCAACATGTATATGTATAATCTGTCACAAAGAAAAAAATAAAAATGTGGCCATGCTGCTACTTTATTGCAATACATAAAATTGTAGATCTCAACACTCCCTGGAATAATTTTAGTGTGGACCCCTCCCACCCCCTTCTCACACACGTGCGTACATATTTTAAATAAACAAAGTCAATCTTCTCCACGGATAGCGCTCAATCAGGGCATCTATAATGACAGTGTTATTAATTATATTTACTGCATGTAAATAAGGCTTACAACCGACTCAATATTTTGTCTCGAAAATGTTCATTGATCATGTTGATCAGCTAGCATGATCAGGCCGATCTTCGACATTTATAAAATATAATCGCTTTGATCAAGCTATATCTAAATTATTTTGAGAGATATAAAATGAATGTTCTTACATGTATTATGTTGTATTATTGTCTGAATTATTGTCTTTGGAATAAGTATACTAACTTTCGCAGGTTATTTTTAAAAATAAATCGTACAAATATATTGGCCAATCAAAAGAGGGCTTTCCCTAAGAATTTCAAATCGTATGTAAACTTCCGGCCCCCCTTTGGCAATTTCTCGGTTTGTTGAAGCAGTAGATCGAGTTTGACGAGGGATTTTTAATATTTGCAAGTGTGATGCGCCCTTCAGGTTGCACTGGCCGTAAGTTTAGACCTCGAAAGACTGGCCACAGAAAGAATATGGTTGCACAGAATTTATTTGACGGAGTTTCAGAAGAAAATACAAGAGGATGTGACAGACCTAGAAAAATTCAAGATGGCGCCGTTGGGGACCTTGTTTATTATTAGGTATGTGTATATTTTTTTTTTATTTAAAGAAAAATAAGTAACGTCAGGTGCCTGTGGCTGAAACAGTAAACCTAAAAGGTATGTGAATATAAAGGCTTCATTTATCATAAATCTAAAGGCTCTTTTTTTTTTGGTCTTAGATTTTTCACTGAGGAGCATTTTGCCGTGTCCTTTTTTTTTTTTTTCTTTGTACAGACATCTTTGCTTGCTTTTGTTTGCAAAACCATTTGCCTCTTTTGTTTGTATTTAAGGTGGGGGTGAAAGTATGAACGAGTATGAAAGTGTTTATTATATCGGATTACTTGCTTGGAGGTTGCTTAATGTTTTGAAATTGTTTACAAATGAATAACTCAGTGACGATTGCAACGGTGAACTGTCAGGGGCTAGCAACACCTCAGAAGCGGCGTGATGTTCTTAATTATTATAAGAAAAGGGGTCTTTCTATCCTGTGTTTACAAGATACACATTTTACTGATGATTTAGAACCATATGTAGAAGCTCAATGGGGATATAAATGTATTTTTAGTTCTTTCAGGTCCAATTCACGTGGTGTTAGTGTCCTATTTAATAACAACTTTGAATTTAAAATCCATAAAGAAAAAAAGGATTGTGAGGGAAATCTAGTTGCTCTAGATATAACAGTTGAGGATAACAGATTAACTCTTATTAATGTTTATGGTCCAAATCTCGATTGTCCAGAATTTTATGAAAAAATTCGTGAAATTTTTTTGGAATTTGACAATGAATATTTCATACTATGTGGTGATCTAAATCTTGCTTTGAACCCTACTATCGATACATATAATTATACTCATGTTAACAATCCAAAGGCTAGAGACAAACTGATAGAAGTTATGGAGGATCTTCATATTGTTGATTACTTCCGGATTTTGAACCCAGAAAAAAAAGTGTACACATGGAGGAAAAAAAAAATCCATGCAAGCAAGGTCGGCTTGATTATATTCTTATATCTGAAGGTTTATCCAACTTTGTAGAAAATTTTACAATAAAACCTGGCTATAGATCAGATCATTCTATTGTACTTTTAGAACTTAAGTTCAACTCTTTTGAGAGAGGGTGTGGCCTGTGGAAATTTAATAATAGTTTGCTGTATGA